CCTATTAAATCCCTTCTTCTCAAAACTTCTTTCAGAAAAACCATTTTCATAAATAGTCTCTGTAGTTTTCGCCCTTTCTATCGCTGCCTCTAAAGACACTGTCCCCTCAAGCTGCAATAAACGCTTTGTATTTTCGCTCGCTAGTCCCACAATAAATTGCACACAAGCTATCTTTGTTCTCATTTCTTTTCCACTTTCGGGATAAGCTAAACGCGCTAATCGCTCTATTTCCAACCCGTAAGACGTAATTTCTTCCCCAAATTTTTGTTTTCTATTATTAAACTGCGTATACAAATTTTGAAAAAGCTCCTGCTGTCCGAAACGGTACTCTAACCTAGCACATAATTGTGCATAATTAGAATTTTCTTCCATACCTTCTAAAACCGCCCGAGCCTTTCCCCGCAAATTTGCCGCGAGATTTATTGTTTTAAAATTCTCATCCCAATTATTCGCCAGTGCGATCAATTCATATTGACAAAGATATTCGCGTAAAGACACGGTTCCATAAAAAATATCGGCTTTAATTTGCCCGGTTATTAAAGAAGTTGGAAACGACTGGTCTGTAACATTCCGCCGTTACGCCTCCAGCTCCTCCAGCAAATGTAGCCACTCCTCCCTCATCGTTCGGATCTCATGGAGCGCATCCTGCAACACCGACACCTTCGACGTTCCGGAGCTTGCCGCCTCCGCCCCGTCGCTTCTGGCTCAATTGAATGAATACGCTTCCGTCGGCAAGGAACCGCGTGACCTCTTGCTTCGGTTGTCATTCTGTATCCTCACTTTCTCTCACTGTTACTCTCACTCGCGTCGTGATATGATCCCAAACGTCTCGCGTTTCTATCCCGAATGTCCCGCGATTTTTATCCCGAATAATCTGTGATTCGATCCTGGACGAGCTGTGATTCGATCCCGGACGAGCCCCCAAAATGTTGCGCTCACTCTCGCACTCGCGATTGCACTCAGGTAAATGAAAGCACTCACGTAAGAATAACAAGCTTTACTATTTACAGCGCAGTTCACTTAATCTTTAAACAAGAATAATTCTCTGATCTACTCGCGTCTGTCTACGATGACAGATTACCGGAGACTCTCTGTCAGCTGTTATTATTTTCTTCTTATCGATTTTCCGTCGTCCAGACAATCTTCGTTCAGTTGTCAAAATCAGCATCAGATGCCTAAGGCTCACGGACAACGGACGCTGCCACAAACCTTGTGGCTCGGACACAACAATATGATCAATGCAATGTTCATAAGTAAATAACATGTTCATGGTAGCAGGTTTCAAATACAAATACTTAGGAGATAGGGTTAATTTTACAATTTTTGAACTATTTATCTCATATAATTCCACTTTTAAATCTCGAATCCGTAGTGGTAAGTACGATGGTTTGCTCGCTTCCAGAAGTCGTTGTATAGTATCACGATTTTCCATCAGTTTTCCCCAAGCGTCTGCACGTAATATTAGTTGATTACCGCGATTGTCACCGAGGACTATTTCTACGACAGGCACAGATTGTACATTGAGTCCAATCTCCAAATAGTTATAAGACGTTGCAATCAAAGCGTATTTGCGTCCCAGGATGTGAGTAGCATGACATGGGATGCACTCAGGAATGCTATAAAAATATAATAAATGATATATACATTTAAAAATTCGACCGGGAAAGTGCACACAAAGTACCAAATTCACATTGATGCTTACTTCTCATGTTTTCTCTTGCATGGTGGTGGAGTCTCGAATAACTCGTCGCACTTTTGTTTCCACGCAAGGTGACTCTCATCCTCATCCTCATGTTGAACAGGCATGTAATAATTTGCTTGCTTAGCGTTCACTTCAACACCGTACATTTTGGTTTTACTATGTTGAAGTTACTGTCGTATCTTGTTTTTACAGAGCGACTGACGAAACAATATGCAGGAGCTCCTTTTATACAGGCAAATTTTCCCACCAATGTTGTAAGTTTAGTCGAAGACGAACAGAGTATACTGCGTATTACAATATCACATTTTTGACGAAAAACGTTTTTTGTCAGTCGTTGACGCCAGACTGCTGATACCAAAGCGTAGGTCTACAAGCTTATTGTTATATTAGATAAAGAAAGGTATGCACTTAGGCATACAGGGTCCATAACGGGTCGATATGAGTTTAAGAAATGAAATGTGTTGAAAGATGTGTCGACGAGACTGTCGAGGAAATTTTCCCGAATTTTGATAACGATGTGTATTTTTGGAAGAAGGAAGTGATATAAAAAGTTCAAAGCAGAACATTCTATAGTTTAGTCGAAGACGAATAGAGTGCACGGTTATAGTGTGTATTGACAACATTCGCTGGAAGAAATGGCCGAATCATTCGTAGAATGCGAACTGTGGGATCAGCTCGCTCGATTAGGTTCGCGAGACGAATACCTCGCGTGGGAACAAAAGTGTGACTAGTGCCTCGAGTCGATGGAACAGCATAACCGAGCCAAACAGCCGCGACTATCGGTTGGCTCAGCGCACTCGATGATTGCTCATATAGCGCAACTCGAGGGTTAAAAAAGTATTTTGCGCAGACGTTTCATATACGCAGGAGCCAGATATTCGGAACTTTTTTGGCGAGAAATCGATATAGCGTTCAATAGTCGCTTATCAACCGGGGCGATTGTAAATACAGACTATATCGAACCTCTTCGATTTCTCCAAGATGCGAAGAATACTGTGCTCGAACATGTGCGAAGCGTTATGAAGAGACACGGTAGCGTAAAAGTGAACAACGGTGTGTTCAACGGTGAATTTGTGGCGGGTGATAAACGCGCGAACAAGAGCATCAATACGAAGAACTTTGAACTTTTGCCCACATCCATTCTGGACAATTGATTCGCGATGCGTGTTATTGAGTCCAACTTAGCATCCTTGGAAGAATTCCAGGAACGTGATAGCGGGTGGCTACTCTTACGCATATTTGATCTGACCGTTAACGTTAATAAGTACAAACCGATGTGTGTGAGATGTCACATCGAGTTACTGCGCGAAATAAAAATGAAGCGGGCTGTGATCAACGTGCAATCTATGGACAATGCATATTTCGCGTGGACGGTGCAGCGTTATGTCCAGCTGACAAACACGCAGGTCGTCAATCTTTGTACCCGCATTATACATCGGTGTTGAATATGCAGGACATTGAATTTCCAATGCACATAAGTCAAATTAAAAAGTTTGAACGGTTGAACGATATCTCGTTCAACATTTATAGTGTGGAGAAGAGATATGACGACGTGACAAAGAAAGAAGGAAACGTCGTGCCCATACGTCTCACGGAACAGAAAATGGAGAAGCACGTCAATCAGCTGCATATCCCAGATCCGTGAGATGACAACGCCGGACATTTCGCGTGAATCAAGAATTTGTTCCAACTCATCAGTTCACAGCTGAGCAAAAAGGAACACAAAAAACATATTTGCGACGGGTAAGTATACACTAAGAATGCAATGTATAATGAATAATGTGACATATACCAATAACAAATAATGTTTTTCCAGATGTTTGCATTACTTTAGCTCGAGCGAGAAGCTGGGTAGCCATACTGTCGACTATCAAAAAATGAATGACTGCGTAATCATCCTGCCAAACGATGACAACAAATGGCTCAGCTTCACTAACTACTGCAGGAAAGAGCGGGTCCCGTTTGTAGTTTACGCCGACTTGGAATGCATACTGGAGAAGACACCGAGGGAAGAACAAACGAGTTCGTATGCGTATCAACGTTATAGCGTATTTAGTATAGCGTATTACGTGCGATGTTCCTACGACGAGTCGTTATCTGCGTATTGATGTCGTCGCGATTCGGATTGCATCTCGTGGTTCGTCAAGGAACTCGAAGAACTAACACACCGCGTAAAGGGTATTTTGTCCGCAAATATCTCCATGGAAACTGTCGAAAGAACAGTGGGAGACATTTCGGAACGCTACGCTGTGTCATGTATGTGAGAAATCATTCGCAAAGGACGATACACGCGTGCCCGATCATTGCCACTTGACTGGACGGTACAGAGGTCCCGCGCATTCCAATTGCATTTTAAATTACCAAGCCAGTTATTGCATTCCTGTGGTCTTTCACAACTTATTCGATATAGCAACTATTTCGGTTATAGCAACCGCATTCTAAGGTTCAATCATTGTACTACCGATAACCAAGAGAAATATATTTCGTTTACAAAGACTGTAGGAAACATGACGGATAGTAGAAATAAATGGATAAATTGTATGCAATTGCGGTTCATCGATTCGTACAAATTTGTAAGTACTAGTCTCAATTGACGTCTTTTCTCGACAAAGACAAATTAAAAATTATTCAGGTCGAATTTTCAAATTTATCCGACATGGATTTTGATTTATTGACGCGAAAGGGTGTCTTTCCGTACGAATACCTTGATTGCGGGGACAAGCTGCAGGATCAGTATTTACCACTGCGCGAGCCATTTTACAGTTCGTTGACGAGTGACACGGTATCCGAGAGCGATTATGCGCACGCCGTGAACATCTGGCAGCGGTTTTCTATTCAAACCTTGGGTGAATATAGCGACTTGTATCTGAAGACCGATGTCTTGTTACTGGCCGATATTTTTGAAAATTTCCGCAATAGTTGTATCAAAAGTTACGGGTTAGATCCCGCGTATTATTTCACTTTGCCTGGTTTTACGTGGGATGCTGTGTTGAAGCATACGGGCGTTAATTTCGAATTGCTCACTGATATTGACATGGTCATGTTCATCGAGCGCGGTATTCGCGATGGTCTCAGTCAATGTTCCAGTAGATACGCAAAGGTCAATAATAAATACATGCAGTCTTACGATCCATTACAGCCATCATCATACTTAATGTACTTCGATGTAAATAACTTCTGCTAACGATTGTAATAACGATTGGGTAATGTGTCAACTGTTGCCATACACCGAATTTCGATGGGTTGATGATGTATCGAATTTCAACATATCATTAATCGCGCTAGATTCACCCATAGGTTACATTCTGGAGATCGACTTGGAGTATCCGCAACATCTGCACGATGCGCACACTGACCTACCGTATTGTCCGACGTGTGGCAAACCTCCGAACAAAAGGCAGGACAAGTTTTTCGCAACCTTATGCGATAAGCAGCGTTATGTGATTCATTATCGCAACCTGCAGCAGTGTACGCGTCACGGTCTTCGGTCACGGTGTATTGGAAAAATACACCGCATACTCAAATTTGTTCAATCTCCATGGCTCCGCGATTATATCGAACTTAACACGCAGTTTAGAACAGGCGCGACAAACGATTTCGAGAAAAATTTGTACAAATTGATGAACAACGCGGTATTCGGCAAAACCATGGAAAACGTTCGCAATCACATAGACGTAAAACTGTTGACAAAATGGGACGGACGATACGATGCTTTTTTTTTCTGTTAACGCATAGGAAACCCATCATGGGTACCCACCGACCCCTGGGAGGGGCGGAGGGTTATGTGAGACTCCTACTCACTAAAACCTCTGCGGGATGTCTACCAGCCGGATCGAGATGGTGGGAATCAGCGGAACTGCGCCAGCATTCCCTCCCCGACGCCCCGGCCCCAGGGCTCCTTTGTTGAGCCCCACGCCCACGTGCCGCGCCCCCTTTTCCGTGAGGACAAGGTTAGGGCGCGGTGCCCCGATCGGCTATGCCGATCGAGTTGGCCTTACGTATTTATTTACGGGAGAGGGGGGACATGCCTACCCTCCCTCCCCGCCTCCTCCCGTTCGGAGTATCCTACTCCGGGGGTGCGGGGGAGCGTGGCCCTTTCCCAGAGGGCCTCGCCCCCCCTTTCCTTCCTTTACCGACGCGCGAGGGAGCGCAGGCGGGGGTTCTCACCCCCCTCCCGGCATTTCTCTCCCGCGCGTCCGAAGTCGGCCCCGAGGGGGCGGTTTCCGGCGGACCGGTCGCCGTTCCCTCTCGGCCGGCGCCACCTCGAGGCCGCTACCATCTCCCGCCGCTGAGCCCGCGATGAGCGCCGCCTTCTATCCCGCCGCACCCTGCGGTCGGGGTTGGGCCGACGCTCCCACTTGGCGGCCTCTTTCTGGGACATGACATCCCTGCAGAAGGAGGCCGCCGCCCCCCATGCCTCCCCGCTCCCGCACATGGCGCGGACCATGCGCGGGAGCGAGAGATCTTCCACACGGCACCCGACCGCCCGGGCCAGGAATCGACGCTCTTGGCTCCACGCCTTGCATTCTGCGAGGGTGTGCCGTGCCGAGTCATCCGGCTTCGGGCAGTAGTGGCACTCGGTGGTGAGTTCTTTCCTTATTCGGTGCAGGTACCCTCCGAAGCATCCATGCCCCGTTAGTACCTGCACCAAGTGGAAAGATTGTCCGCGGCCCCTCCTGCCCACTATTTCCGGTAGGCAGGGGCGGCCAGCCTCGGCTGTCTGGCGACCGAATCCTCGCGGATCGGCCAATTCGGCCGACCACTTGTTGAGGATCCGGTTACCGGCCTGGGTCTTCAGGGCCCTCAGGTCCTTAGCCGATAGCCCTCCTCCCTTTCGCGGAGCTCCCTGATGCGCCAGTAGAGGAGATACCTCTCTTCGGCGAGGAGCTCCACTGGGGGGAACCGACCAGGGCGGCCGCCGCCGTGTACGAGACTGTCGCGTACCCTCGGATCGCTCTCACCAGCACCGGCTGCGTGGCCTGTCGCAGCAGGTCCCTGTAGCGACGGGTGGCTAGGAGTCGGGGCACCCCGTACAGAGCGACCGAGAGCACAACGCCCACGTACAGGTGGCGTGCCTGCCATCCAGGACCCCCCTGGGCCCGCATCAGGCCGGCCAAGGCCGTGCCTACCTTGCGGACCCGGGGGGCCAGGCACCTGAAATGTGGCCCGAATTCCCATCGGCTGTCCAGCGTTAAGCCCAGATATTTCATCGTGGACTTGACACGGACTCGGACCCACCAGGACCCGGGCCCTTCGCGGCCTCCCCTGACCCCGTCCATGAAATAACATGGCCTGGGTCTTCTGGGGGGCCACTTTGAGCCCGAGGTCACTGATGGTTCCCACCACCGAGTGTAGAGCTGCCTCCACTCGGAGGCGAGCCTCCCCCCAATCCTCCCTCTCGGCCAACACCAACGTGTCGTCTGCGTAGCAGACCACGTGGCAGCCTTGGAGGAGGGGAGATCGCAGCACCCGGTCGAACGCGATGTTCCACAGCAGAGGGCCCAGGACGGACCTCTGTGGAACACCGCGCTCCATTTGTCACCGGCCTTGGACCCCGCCTTTCCCCGAGTAGGCGAGGTCCCTGTCCCTGAAGTACGCCGCCAGGATGCGCCGGAGATAGACGGGGACGCCATGGTATTCCAGGGCCCGTCCTATCTCCGGCCAGGGCAGGGTGTTAAATGCGTTTGTGATATCTAGCGATACCGCGAGTAACCGCCCTCCTCCTCCACGGCGGTACGGGTCAGGTCCTGGACGTGCTGGAGTGCGTCCAGCGTAGATCGGCCTGATTGCCATACTGATTGCCGTACTGATTGCCGCGGAGGTCTGGCCCCTCCAGAGACAGATGCTGGACGAGGCGGTCTGCGATGATGCGTTCCAGCATCTTACCCCCCTCGTCCAGCAGGCATATCGGCCAGTAGGCCGACGGCCCACCGGGCACCTTACTCTCCTTCGGGAGGAGGACCAACTTGGCCCTCCTCCACTCCTGGGGGAAGACTCCCTCCCTTAGGCACCCTTCCATTGCCTCCCGCGTGGCCGCGGATATGCTTCCATCGCCGAGGGCGAGAGCTCAGGCGCGACCAGGAATTCCGTCGGGGCCGGGGACTTTGCCCTTGAACTCCTCTGGCGAGATCCCCAGATCCTCGTTCCAGTCCCCGTCCTGAATCAGAGGAAACGGGGATCCTGGGGGGGCCCCCTTAGCCGTGTCGAGGAGCCCCTGAGGTCCTGGGAATCCATGGACTCCGTCGAGGGCGCCCACGGACGTATCTTTCCGACAGTCCGTTTGTACGGGCGCCCCCACGGGTCCTCGTCCAGGGAGTTCACCAGGCGCTCCCAGGCTCCCTTCTTTGCCTTGGCGATAGCGGCCTTGAGGGCTTCCCTCGCTCGGAAGTAGCCCTCTTTCGTCCCCGCCGTCGCGCCGGGCCCGGATGTACATCCGTCTGGCATGGACGCAGGAGTCGCTGATCTCCGCAAGCTCCCGCGTCCACCAGTACGCAGCCCGGCGCCGGCGGGGGTGGGACCGGGGCGTCGCAGGCCGACGCCACGATGCCCACCACCTCCTTAGTCCCCTCAAGAGGGGGCGAAGGGTCCTGTGTACCTGGCCTCTGATCGAGGTGCCAGGTCGCCGCGAGGAGCCGCCTGAAACCTATCCGCGTCAAGTCGACCGAGGGCCCATCTTTTGGAGAGGGGAAAGTCCCCTTCCCCCGGGCGGCGGTCCAGCCTCCGGTGTGGGGTGAGGAGTCGGAGAGCCCACTTCACGTATCGGTGGTCCGACAGCGACTCTTTCTCCTCCTCCTCCACCCACTCCCGGAATTCCCGTGCTGCCGAGGGAGAGGCCCACGTCAGGTCTATGACCGACTCGCCTTCTTCCCTCGGCCGCACATAGGTGCTGGTGGACCCCGTGTTCATTAACACGAGGCCCAATCGGCCACGGTCTTGCTCCAAGGGTCCCATTGCCAGGGACTGCAGCCCCATTCATCCGAGTGGGCGTTAAAGTCCCCGGCGACGACTACAGGTCGGGGGTGGCACTGCCGTACCACGTCCCCGACCCTGTCCAGGACCCTCACAATACGGGCAAGCTCGCCTAGGCCTTCTCTATGTCTGTGGTGTGGGAGATATACCCTCACCACAGTGATGGGTCCACAGTCGACAGCCACATACGAACGCTCCCTCTTCCTGACTTTGCAGGGGGGCGCCCGTTGTGGGATTAGCCACCACGGCCACTAAGCTGCACTTGCTGCCCAGCCAGTTTGGATTACCGGCCGGGATTAAGTGCGGCTCTGTGACCAATCCTAGGCCGACACTCATCTCCGCAAGATTGTGGATCCACAGATCTTGGGCATGGGTGCCTCTGCCTAGGTTGGCTTGGGATACTCGAAGGAGCGTTAAAGCTAGGCCTTCACGCCTCCTCCGGACGTTTCTCCTTCGTTTCCCCTGGGGAGACTCCGGGCGGCGACAGCGCCGTCCCTGTCTCCTCTGGGGGAACTTTGGCCATGGTGGTGGCTTCCATCGGGTGCCTCCATGGTGGCAGCCTGCTCTAATGCCTCCTTGGGTGCATCCTCGGAGGTTCCTATCTCGGGGGCCCCTACCTCTGCCACTTCCTCCTCTCGGAAGTATGAGGGGGGAAGTCTACAGGGGGAGCCGGGGATGGCGCGTCCTCCGGGTCCCTTGCTACAGTCGTTGGGGGTAGGGTCTTGAGGACCTCCACCCTCCTCACCTTGTCCTTCTTGTCCGAGCCTGGCTCCTTGTCCTCCTTCCTCTTCGGCCTCACCTCCGGTGTCGCCGCAGGGGGGCCGCCTCCAGGGTCCCCCTCTTCCTCTTCTCTCTCTGCAGCAATGACTCCTCTTCCATGGGGGTGGTGGGGTCCAGGGTGCGATCGTTCGTCGCCTCCACCACCATCCTGTCCTCGTCCCTCGTCCCTCGGGAGAGGAGACCGGTTTAACCTCCTCCCTTACCTCGGCTCCGGCTGTCCGTGGAGAGGCCCTCTGGTCCCTCCTGTCGTCCTTCGCCGGAGCGGGGGGAGCGTTCGCCGTCTCCCCTTCAGGACTAGGCCCGGGCTGCCTCTTTTTTATATTGGCCTTCCTCCTCCTCTTCTGCCTGCCCGTCAGAGGCTTACACGCGGGTCCACTGGTCTTATGGCCGGCTGGCTTACCCGCTTCGGCGCATACAGGACAGTGTGCCGCAGCTGCCCTACATTGTTTGGCGCGGTGGCCGGGGGTACCGCAGCGATAGCAATTACCGCGGTCGACGACGCTCTTGCACCGCTCGCGCACGTGCCCCTGCTCCATACAACGGAAGCAAAGAGCCGCGCGAGCGGGCAGCGCCGTCACCCCGGCTCGGGTCTAGCCCACCTGGACCTGCCCTGCAGCGGCAACCTTCGAGGCTGCCGCCAACGGGCACCGCACCACAGCCGTGGCCGTACCTCGCTGGGTGAGCTGTAGTTCACCCCTGGAGACATCCTGGGTGAGCAGCCCCGAGCGAGGGCCACAGCGGCCATCACGTCCTCGGTCCCGTCGCGTCCAGAACGGTGAGCTGCAACGCCGGGGTCTTCACCGGCCTTTGGACGCGATAGCCTTTCTCCGCCGCCAACTTGACGAGCTCCTCGGCAAGCCGGTCGGCGGAGGGTCCAGTGTTGAGGCCAGGTACCTCTATTAGCAGGGCTCCGGTACGAGCCGTGCGGATCTTAAGTACACCCGGAATCAAGAGGCACGGTAGTGCCTATTATTACGCGAAACTGCGAGTTGAAACGAGGTAAGATATTCATATCTCAGGAATAGCTGAACCGATCGACGTTTTTTAGTCCCAATCGATTCAGCCTTAAAAAATAGGAAGAAAAGTGTTCTTGTGCTTTTTGTGTACGTTGTCTCTAAGTGAAGATATTTTAAGATTAAAGTCTGAATCACAGAAATTACGATTCAGTAAGAAAGTAAGAAAGAAACGCTAGACCGCCGAGGAGAGGGGATTTATGCTTCTCGTTTTTCCGATACCAGAGGCGTTACGAGCGCGCTGAAGATGCAAAGAGCAGCAAGTGCGAGTGAGCAAACGATAGAGAATAAGAGAGAGAACATAGACCGCCGAGGAGAGGGGATTTGTACTTCTCGTTTTTCCGACACCAGAGGCGTTACGAGCGCGCTGAAGAAATAAAGAGCAGCGAGTGCGAGTGAGCAAGCGATAGGGAATAAGAGAGAGAAGAATATTGGTAGAACAGGAGATGAAATAAAAATAAAATATTGCTAGTTTATTTATTTTATATATATTATATTATACAGCACGTGAATTCGAGTCGAACACGAGCAACGTGATCGCAACGTTGGTAGTTTACGTCGAGCAATGAGCGACAGCGAAGGTTTGACAATCGCGCATTTCGGTTTTGAAGCTTCCTAACCTCAAAGATATCACAATGCTGCGCTCACATTTTCGACTGAAAGTTGACTTGTCTAAGTTTTTTCACGATGTGCGTCGGATCTGCTAAATTTTTATTGATTGGTCACTAAAATATTTGGCATAAGAGAACCATTTCATTTATTGTTGAACGATGCCGAATATCTGCTACCGATGGAGGATATTCGCATTCTCATCGAAAACGAGACGATCAAGTAAGTATAATTCTTTTAATATAAAGTTTTAAACTTAACTTTTGATATATTTTTAGTTCAAATAGGTTTTATGCGTTTACTCATTAATATTATTTGTATGTAATTAACTTATAATCTTATTCTTATAGAGTAATTCCTGGATCTGGCATACAGAACGAAGTTTTAAATGCATTAATTACTGTATATCAGACTAATAATTACAAAAATTTCTCTAAGGCTAAAGTATGTAACAATATTTCACACGATAAGGTTGTCGAAACAACAGATGTTATGACTGAGAAAATAGGAATAAATACAAGTAATGGATTGGATATATCTGACGATCCTTTGAATGATACAGATTCAGCTTTGATATGTTAGCATATTTTATTTATATTACACTAAAACAAATTGAATCTTTATAATATAATATCTTTATAATATAATCTTTATAATATAATCTTTATAATATAATCAATGAATTGTATTTATTTTTAGATAATAATACAACAAATGTAATGTTTACTACTGCAATTGATTATACAGAAGCAGATGCAGATTCAAAGGTTACGGATTATAATATTCACTTATATATTATATATTATTATTATATAGTATTTACTGTTTTTTGCAGACTTTGAAACTCGATGACTATATACCTCAGATATCCAATTTTATTACAGGCGAGCTATTAAGTTCCTGTATAAGATAATGCCTCTTGATATTGGAAACGTGTTAATATATTATACGCGTATAAATTATTATATATACAGAGTGATTCAGACCACTCGTACAGCCCTTTTATTTCGGAAATAGAACATTTTAGACATAAATATTTCAGACAAAAGTTGTAGGGCTTCAAAGGATCTATTTACTGACGTTATGAATTTAACCTTGGTCTTAAATGGATATCCCAATTTTTTATTATATCGTCTTTTTCTAGCAATTAATTTGAACAACTTTTGTCTGAAACATTTTTTAATTTTATTTAAGGTAAATTTAATAACTTTTTCAATATTTAACTCACGATATCTCGCTAACTATTTGTCAGAAGAAAAAGTGGTACTAGAGTTTTTTGCTCTATTTAGTCTCAAGAATATATTTTTACAATAGCGCTTGACTTTTGTTTGGTAATTTTTTGAAATTTCAAAATCATCAAATTAACCAAATTCATGGCGCTATTGGAACAATATATTCTTGGAGACTAAATAGAAGAAAAAAATCTAGTATCATTTTTTCTTCTAAACAACAAATAATTAGCGAAATATCGTGAGTTAAACATTGAAAAAGTTATTCAGTTTTCCTTAAATATGCCACAAAGTATTAGTTAAATAAAATAATGTTTCAGACAAAAGTTGTTTAAATTAAATGGTAGGAAAAGACGATGTAATAAAAAATTCGGGTATCCATTTATAAGATTTTTATGTTGATCTTGACTGGACTTTTCAAGGTTATCTGAAGGTTAAATTCATAGCATCAGTAATAGAACCTTTGAAGCCTTACAACTTTTGTCTGAAATATTTTTCTCTAAAATGTTCTATTTTCGAAATAAAAGGGCTGTACGAATGGTCTGAATCACCCTGTATATATAATATTATAAAACTTACCTTTTTAAACAAAAAGGTAAAAAAAGGCGCCAAGTACAAGCGCTATGTGTACATAACATAAGTTTTTACAAGTAAAACTTATAACTATAATAAAACTCTACAACACTATTCTACTGTACAAAAGAAGTGATATATTAGACAATAGCGCCAACTGAGAAACCTAATATCATATATATTGCCATACAATTTTACAAGTAACATTTATTATATAAAACTTACCTTTTAAACAAAAAGGTAAAAAAAAGGCGCCAAGTACAAGCTACGTGTACATAACATAAGTTTTTACAAGTATATTTTTATAACACGATATCATTTTTACTTGTAAAAACTTATGTTATATTCATAATATTAACATAACATTTTACAAGTAAAAATGATTATATGTAAAATTTATATTAAAACAGTAACGCCAAATGAGAAATCGTATACTTAATATCTTTAGAAATCTCAAATTCAAATTATTTCCTTTTTTTAAGATATACATTATGTACATAACATAAGTTTTTACAAGTAAAAATGATTATTATAATGTACTTAACATAACTTTTTACAAATAAAAATGATTACATGTAAAATTGATCCTTTTTTTAAGATACATATTATGTACATAACATAACTTTTTACAAGTAAAAATGATATCATGTTATAAAAATTTAACACGTTTATTAGTAGTGTCCAATATTTAATTTATCATTATTTATTAGAACACTGAGTTATATGATTGTTTTACTTGTTATTATAATGTACTTAACATAACTTTTTACAAGTAAAAATGATTACATGTAAAATTTATTATACTAACTTTTTTAAACAAAAAGGTAAAAAAAGGCGCCAAGTACAAGCGCAACACGTATTGTGCTATTTTTAGAAATTTCAAGTTCAAATTATTTTTTTTAAGTATATATATGTACATAACATAAGTTTTTAAAAGTAAAACTTATACAAAAAAAGTGATATATTAAAACAGTAGCGCCAACTAAGAAATCGTATACTTAATATTTTTAGAAATCTCAAATTCAAATAATTTCCTTTTTTTAAGATATATATTATGTACATAACATAAGTTTTTACAAGTAAAAATGATATCATGTTATAAAAATTTAACACATTTATTAGTAGTGTCCAATATTTAATTTATCATTATTTATTATAACACTGAGTTATATGATTGTTTTACTTGTTATTATAATGTACTTAACATAACTTTTTACAAATAAAAATGATATCGTGTTATAAAATTTTAACACGTTTATTAATAGTGTTCAATATTTAAAAAAGATATCTTTTTAAAGGTTATTATTACAAATTCAAATTATTTTTTTTAAGTATGTTGCGGATTCGCCGAGAATCAGCAACGCTGCGCGTGATGTTTATACGATCACGATCGCTGTGTTGCCGCTGACGTCAGCGTACACGTGCGAGGCGACTCTCCGACATTCTAATGTCTCGTGAGATACTCGCTGCGCTCGGCGTGATTGTTCGGCCTCCCGACACGTGAAAACACACTTCCAAACAAAACTTGGGATGTGTCGCGAGGCTGAACCAATCATTGAGCGCCAACTATCCAATAAGATTTTTTTGTTCTAATCAAGAATTCGTTGGAAGCATCAATTTTGTATTTCGAGATTTTTCCACCGCCGGAACTCTCACTCCGAATTTTCTCGTTGTCTCGGACGGATACTCCGAATTTTCTCGTTGTCCCGGACGGACTCTCAGT